ACAGCTCACACCTGTGGCTGCTCTGAGCCCTCATCATCTTAACAGCTCACACCTGTGGCTGCTCTGAGCCCTCATCATGCTAACAGCTCACACCTGCCACTGTTGCTACTCTCCAACAACGTCTCTTGGTCTCTCCCTCTCCAGCACACAGCGCATTTCTCACAGACACAGATCCAATAAAAATCTGCTACAGGTGTCGGCTTTTCTTAATCCACCTGGTTACACGATTAAAACACATACATGCATTGATGGTCATTGAGAGAAAGCTTTCCCCTGGAGAAAACAGTCCTTTTGCTGGCACACTTTGATACACCTTCGGAAAAAGCAGAATCAGCACTAACTCCTAAGACCCCTGCCGAGGAACCCAGCCCTGCCTGGGACACCCAAAGCAGCAGACCTTGAAAAAGGAGGGGAAAAGTCAAGCTTGGAGTGTAAAAAGAGGATAGAAGTACAGCAGCCTTTAAAAATGCCTGCACGGAGCAATAGTGGGAACCAGACACATTTCTTCTTTCCTTGCTTTCTGTGATGACATAAATAGGAAGTAAGAACACGTTAAACAAAAGGCAGAGCTAGGATTTTACAGGTCTTTATTTTGGCAGGCTGCATGACAGACACCTCTTCAGGGACTGCGACGCCTTTTGGGGAATGGCAGAGAACGGAGGCAAAAGGTGCCGGGAGCCCTTTCTGTTCCCTTCAGCCCCTGCAGCTGCTCCGCTGGTTTCAGGGCACTCGCTTGGTTCGTTCCTAGAGAAAAAGGCTAGGGCATGATTTTCAAAACTACTGCCCATCCCCAGTCAGAGTTTCCTACATTCCTGGGTACAAATGAGTGGATGGAGAGAGTGGATGGATGCTGTCCAGCAGTGTCCCCAGGGGCATCTGGAGTGTTCACACTGCTGAGCTGAGAAAAACTCACCAAACCCAGCCCAGGGGCTTGTGATCCTCCACCCACCCGGGGGAACTCCGGGCACTGTAAACAGAGGCCACAGCGCACACCAGGCTCTGCTGTGCCCAGTGAGGAGTCTCTGTATGAGCCCTGAGCCCTGGCATCGCCTCCCAAACACCACAGAGACCTCTTGTGCCATCAGAGAAAAGCCCTGGAGCAAACGTGTGTCCCCAGCCCGATCAACATGCAGAATTACCTCCTCAATAAAAACGCTGTTTCTGATGGAAATGTTACCTCTGTCGACTGCGAGGATTTTATAGGAATACTGGCTCAAGAATTCAGTGACTTCGGGGATTCCATACCACAGGTTCCTGGGACTGCTTGGGCATCCAGAGCCTATAGTATTGGTTAAACTGGTAGAGCTGAGGATACTTAGCAGCTTTGTCACAGAGCTACAACGTCAAGCAGGGAGCAAGAGGTTCTCTCAGAGAGTGCAGGAGGCCAGTGAAAACAGCACCAAGGTCCTCCACGATGTCTGCTCCTAGAAAAGCCAAATAAATTAAACTATTGACATGAGCACGGACACTGGGGCAACCTTCCTTACTTTGGGCCTTGCCAGCAGCCCACAGAGCCTCACGCAGAAAAGAACTGAACGAGATCAAAAAGTGTTCCTAGTGACCTAGACAGGTGCTCCTGGCCGCTGAGGTACCTGAAAAACCCTCCAGACATCATCAGCTCTTGCTGAAGCAAATATTCCACTTTGCTGTGTTGTGCTAAAAACACGCCCGGCCCTTAACAGGGAGAGACCCTGCCTCAGAGAAGAACCGAGCTGTACTGGGGGGACACACCCAGCCAACGTGTACGAGTTAAACAGAATTTTCTCTCAGAACTGGGACTTTCAGCACCCCCCAGGTGCTACTCGACTGCCACAGACACACAGAGGGCTTTGTGAGGTGCTCTGGGGTTGGCCAGTCCTGCTCCAAGCCCTGCTGATGCCCCTGTGGTTTTAAGGATGTCCTCAAGGAGGTGGTAGAACCTCACAGNGTGAGGTGCTCTGGGGTTGGCCAGTCCTGCTCCAAGCCCTGCTGATGCCCCTGTGGTTTTAAGGATGTCCTCAAGGAGGTGGTAGAACCTCACAGTGTTTGCCCCTGGAGCTTAATTTCTGAAGTTTTCCTTGGGAAACACACCCACTTCCTACTTAACAAGGCAGTCCCCTCTCCCTGATCTCGAGAAGAGCTGCCCACAGGCACGGGAACCACCTTCCTCTCCTGATCGCCACGCTCTGCCCTTAAAACGCTGTGTTACTGAGGCCAGCTACTTCCAGACCAAGACTGTCCATGCAGGGACAGTGTCCCTTCTCTTCAGGGTCAGGGAAAAAGGGCAGAAGCACCTACAGAGCTTCAATGCCCCTCCTGAGCACAAAGCACGGTGAATCTGCACCTCCTGCTGCTTGCAGGTGTCGTGGTTTGACACGGAAAGAGAATTTTTTTCCGGAAGGAAGAGGTCAATTTAGATATTAACCAATTGAAGGGGAACACACCTCTGAGAACACAGAGGAGTTAAAAGCAGAATTCCCAGGGGAACTCGCTCTCTTTGGTTCCGGTCAGCGTGCAGTGAAGACCTTCCCCCGCCCAGCAACGAGCTGGGTGGGAGAGGGGAAGCCCCTGGCCTGAGAAAGGTAGGCCAAAGGTGGAGGGACTGGAACCAGGCTGGCCCCTGCAGATGGAAGGGTGGAAGAAATCTGGGATGTCTCCATCCCCCCCCAGAGTTTCTCTCCCGAGAGGGAGAGAGAAAGAGACAGCGGCAGTCCTGTCAGCAATTCCACCACGAGGAAGGAGGAGCGGGGGGAGCTGCAAGGTGCCCAGTGTGTGGGAGTTGCTGGATGTCCGGGCATCAAGCCCTCCTGGGAGTTCGGACTTTTAACCCTTCCTTGAGAAATGAAAGCTTTGTGAATTTTCCTTTCCCTTCCTCAGTTTGAAAGAGATGAAGAGGGACACCTTGGACCCTGGGATGTTAGAAGGAGGAATTCTAGATAGGAGGGGGACAAGGAGTGGCTTTTGGCTGGACTTTTCCGTGTTAGCCACAACCTGAACCAATCTTCTCCTCCAAGATAGACTGTGTTTTGGGAGGATGCCAGTGAGTCAAGAGACCTGCTTCAGCTGGAAAAAAGACAGAAGTGGAGTGAACAGAGAAAAGGTTAGGGGGTTTGTGGTGGCACCCCCTTGTCCTGGAAAGGAAAGAGAAGAGAAGAAGATCTCTGTTCTTGAGCCCTCGGCCCCAGGGGAAAATGGGGGGGGGCCTGTGGTCCCAAACAATAAAAAACTGAACTGTTGTTTTCTCCCCTCTTGGCAGGGCATCCTTGAAAGGAAAAATCCTAAAAGCAGTCTGTCCATCCATGCATTGGTAGTGAGAGCACTGTGCATGGAAAGGAGAAGGGTCACCATGGCAAACTTTTCTCCAGGCGGTGCCATGTGTAATATGGAAGCACAGGATGTGGAGCTGTGTTTCCTTGGGGGGTCTGTGGCACAGGAGAGACTCCTGTTCCCTCGATGGACTGAGTATTGATTCTCTGGAGGGCGGAAACCTGATTGGGGTCCAGATTGTGTCTCACTGTAGTTTGTTGGAGTTGGGTGATGGGGGGAGGAATGCTTTGCAAAGTTTTCATTTGATCTTTGTGTGGGTTTTTTTTCCTTTTTTTCCTTTCTTTTTCCTTTTGTAGTAGTAGCTTAATAAAATTTTTTTCCCTGTTATTAAGTGTGGGCCTGCTTTGCTCTTTTCTAGATTCCACTTCACAGCATTCAAGGGAGGGATCACATTTTCATGGGGGTATTGGCATTGTGCCAGTGTCAAACCATGACAAGGAACCTGGACTAGTGAGTTTTCTTTCCCAGAGAAAATGGCCAAAGGATGTGCCCAGGGGCCCTGGGCTGGGACCTGACTGCAAAGAATCCTTATATCGAAGGATGGAGCCCAGACCGAAGTTGTCCCCACCTCAAACTTGTGCTGCCCTGATAGACCCAGGGGAGCCCTACAAACTGACATCAGGAACCTGGACTGCTGAGTTTTCTTTCCCAGGGAAAATGGCCAAAGGATGTCCCCAGGGGCCCCTGGCCCTGGGACCTGACTGCAAAGAATCCTTATATTGAAGGATGGAGCCCATACCGAAGTTGTCCCCACCTCAAACTTGTGCTGCCCTGATACACCCAAGGGAGCCCTACAAACTGACATCAGGAACCTGGACTGCTAAGTTTGCTTTCACTATGTAGATATCCCTCATACATTTCCGGGGCCCTGCGTTCCCCCTATTTTGTCAGGTCCCAAGTTTCCTTTTGCCTCCTCAATGTCAAAACAGCGCAGGATTTCTTTCATTTTGCATCTCCCACCCCCAAGTACTCAGGGATTTTTTTCATGCCGAATACCCGTTGGAGACTGACAGTACAAAGCCTGGAGCTTGATTTTTTCTGTGCTGAATTTCTCCTTGAGAAATCTGCCACCATAAAACCCTAACCACAACCACTTTGCTTTGCTCAGAATTCACAACCTTTAGACCAGCAGCATGGCACCTGACCCACTGGCCCTTCACTGAGCATTCCACTTATACTCTCATTTTCAGCGGGCATCCTGTCTGACCCCCATCCTGACCTTAAAAATGCACCAAGGAATTCTAAAATAGCCATTAGGAAGGTGTAACAATACTCTAAAAGATACCAGAAAAAGCCTTTTAAAATCCCCTAAGTATTCCTAGTAACCCTGCAAAAATAAACTCAAGGAAGCGTGCTCAGCCTCCAAACCCCTTCCTGTCGCTCTCTAGCCCACAGATGTCATCCCTACCTTTTTGCAGCGGGTCCTGTTGTTGTCCTGGTGCGAGGGTCGCTGCTCTGTCCCAGCAGGATGCTTCTGGTGTGGTCTCGCTGTCAGGCTTGCTGTGCTGCTGTTGTTAGGGGTGAAAAGGGAAAAGGCTGCTTAGGGTGAGGTTAGGGGTGCTGTACCTGTACCCTAACTTGCCTCCTAAGCTGTACCCTGTAGCCCTGATCTCCACTGGACTGTCCAGCCCTCAGACCCTCTCCCTTCACCCCTGACCCCTCCCTCAGCCCCCCAGCCCTCAGGCTCTGGCTGTCACCCTCGAGCCCCCCTTGCCCCTCAAGCCCCCTCTCAGCTGCCCCTCAGCTCCTGTGTGCCACCCTTAATCCCTCTCCTCTGCCTCTCAGCTCCTGTGTGCCACCCTTAATCCCTCTCCTCTGCCCCTCAGCCCCCAGCTTCTCTGTGTCACCCTCCAGCTGCCCCTGCCCCCCTCAGCATCTCTCTGTGTCACCCACTGTCCCCTCCCCTGTTCCTCCCTCAGCTCCCAGCCTCTGTCACCCTCAAGGCCCCACAGTGCCCCTCAAGCTGCCCCTCAGCCTCTATGCCATGAAAAGACCCTAAAAAATCATTTAAAAGCCCTTAAAAAACCCTCATCCTCAAAACCCCCACAAAAACATAAAAATAGCCTCAGAATACCCTTAAAATACAATAAAAATACCCTACTTTAAAACACCCCTAAAAATCCCCAAAGAACCTTTAAAAAAAATCCCTAAATATTCCTAAAAGAGCTCTAAAAACAGCCCCAAAATCCTTAAAACACACTGGTAAGACCCTAAAAAAACATATGACTTCCCTCAAAAAACCTAAAAATACCCTAGTCATAAGAGTCCTCCACATACCCCCAATAGTCCTAAAAAAGTCCTAAAATTTTTAAATAGTCCTAAAAAAGCCCCAAGAACACACCAAAAAACAATCCATAAAAATTCTAATTATTACTAAGAAACCCCTTAAAGTACCTTAAAAAAAAATCTTATAAAAGCCCTGAAAAAGCCCTAAAAGTAACCTAAACATTCCCAGAAAGGTCCTAGAGAGCTCCTGTGAGAAAACCTCTCAAACATCCTTTAAAAACACTTTAATTAAAAGGTAGGGATGATGTTTGCTGGCTAGAGAGGGATTGGTAGAGACTAGAGGCTGAGTGCTTTTTTAGGGGTTTTTTAAAGTCACTGCCTGCAGCTGCTGGGAGGGCTCTGGGGCTGTCCCATCATTAGGATAACTGCCTGCAGCTGCTGGGATGGTTCTGGGGCTGTCCCATCATTGGGATAACTGCCTGCAGCTGCTGTTGGGGAAAACTGGTGTTCCAGGGCTGCTGCTCTACCCTAAGCCTTCCTGGTACCCTGTGTCCTGTCCTTTGCACTCCTAACCCTCAGTGTGAGCTCTCCACCTGTCAAGTCCCCCCTCTTTGCCCCTCAACCCACAATGCCTGTGTGTCACCCCACGCCCTGACACTGTCACTTGGTCCCCTAACCTCCACCGTGCACTCCCCACCCGGGGAGGGGTGGTTTTTAGGGTGAGGTTAAGGGTGGTGTGAGGGCTGGTTCACCTGTCACCCTCAGGTACCCCCCTACTTTGTCCCTCAAGGCATCCCCAGCCTCTCAACCTCCTTTTGTCACCCTCCAGCTCCCCACGGCAGCCTCTCAGTGTCTCTGAGCTCCCCTTTTTACCCCTAAAGACCCCTGCTGCCTCTCAGCTGCCCCCACCCTCTGTGTCACCCTCCAGACCCCTCCCCTCAGCCCCAGGTCCTTGTGTGACACTGTGCAACCCACCAATATCATCCCTGCCTGTTTTATTTCGGTGTTGTCCTGCTGCCGGGGCCGCTGTGTTGGTTTGAAAAGACAGGAGTCTGTGAAGGAAGGCAAAAGCCTCTTGTGAAATGGATAAGGTAAACCCCCTCCCTCCAAATTACCACAATTTCAAAATTAAAAGGCTCTCAGGCAAAGATATGGGAATGAGAATAACAGCTTTTTATTAGGGAAAAACTAAATAAAAATTTTTAAAAAACCTGTAATTAGTACAAACGAAATTAGTGATAGAGTCAGAAACCTGACACCCTGAGAAGTCAGGGTGTTGGGAATAGTCCAGTTAAATGGTGGCTGCTCCTCCTGGAAATGCTGCTGGAGCGGGGATATAGAAGGGTGGAGTTTTCTCTGAAGGTCTGGTGATGGAGTAGTTGGGCCTGGTCTTCCTCTGGGAATCCAGCAGGGAAGAACCTGCTCCTCTGGGAATCCAGCGAAGAGGCTGCCCTGGTATCCCAAAAAGTGCTGATTTTATGCAGGTAAGAATGCTTGGCTCCTCCCTGTGGGTGAGCATCTCACAATGGGATGATGGAACTTTCCCAGTCATGCATCCCAGGTCCCAGGCTGTCTCTCTTGCTCTCTTTCAAACCGAGGATGGGTAAAATGTCACAAAGCCCTCATTTCCCAAGAAAGGGTTAAAAGCCCTGAACCCCTGAATGGCTCTCAGCCCAGACTCCAGCTCCCACCCACCTCCTTCTCCTTCTCCTTCTCCTTCTCCTTCTCCTTCTCCTTCTCCCTCTGTGCAGCCAGAGAACTTCCAGGTGTCTCCAAGCTCTCTATCTCCAGAGGGACTCTGGGAGGGGGGAACGGGAACATCCCAGATTTTCCTCCACCCTTCCATCCGCAGGGGCCAGCCTGGTTCCAGCCCCTCCACCCCTGGCCTGCCTCAGCCTGGGCTGCAGGGCTTCCCTTCCCCACCAACCACCGGGCAGGGCAGGGGAGAGTCTGCACTGCCCTCGCCAATGGCCGGAGCCAAAGAGAGAAAATTCCTCTGGGAGTTCTGCTTTGAACCCCTCGGTGTTCTCAGAGGCGTCTCCAGCCTGCAGTGGCCACTCCAGGTGCCAACATCCAAACCTGAGCACCGATTCCTTTGACTGCCAACCTCCTGAGAAAATTCCCTTCCGTGTCAAACCCCGACACTCCGTGACAATTGTCAGAATCATTTTGTGAAATAGCTAACGTTGATTTCATCTACAGGTGGAGTATCTTATCTGTATGATAACACTGAAAAGAAGCCACTAAATAAACATCAAAAGAAAGAATGGAAAGAGGAATTTACCACTGACCCTTCAGTTTTCAGGAACTGTCATATCACAGAACGGGGCGGGGGCTTTGTGAGGACATAAAATATATAAATTTAATCTGCAGTAAGGCATGGACTTTATAAAATGGATCAAGGGTCGATCCAAGCAAACAAATTCCAGAAACATGGTAAAAAAAATAAGTTTGAATATGTATAACCCTCACGAGTATGTTTTTAACCAATACAATGAACAGGTCCATAAGAAGAATTGCTGCAGTTAACCCTGTGCCTCTGACAGTTGCCAAGCACCCAGCCCGCTGGTTACTGCCCCTTTTATCCCTGATTAAACATTGACATATTTTAAAGAGTGAGCCTTGTTTCTGCCACAGTTTAACCAAAAATCGGCATTTTGGGTACAGGGAGAGTGAAAAGGGTTGTGTGCCCACCCCAGTGCTGGGAGGGGGAAGGAGGAGCCCCGAGGGCTGTGAAGGGAATCCATGTCCCCCAGTGCCACCAGTGTCACAGCACATTCTCGTAGTCACGGGGGTCCCGCTGTCCCTTGTAGGGTCCCGGCAGCTCTGCGTTGGTCACTCGTGGATCCCGAGGTGGGGCAGGGCCAGGGGACACCCGTGGGGGCCCTGAGAGTGACACTGGTTGTGGGGACCTGGGGGAGAGGGGACACCCGTGGGTGATGCATCCCTCTGTCCCCTCCTCCGGGAGGTCCTGTGGGGATAAGGGGGGGTCTGGGCAGTGTCAGGGGAGGCGGAAAGGGGAGTCCCAGCCCGAGCCCCCCACTCACCGCTCCTGGAGCTTCCTGGGAGCTGCAAGGGAAAGGGGAGGGGGTGACCGTGGGGACCCCGGGACCCCTGAACCTCCCTGGCACCTCGGCAGCTCCAACCACCCTTGGGACCCCCAAATCCCCACTGCAGCTCCAATTCCCACAGGACCCTGATTCCCCCTGGGCTCTCCCAGCACCCCTGAACCCCCCAGAACTTCTGCACCACCACAGTGCTCCCAACCCACCCGGTATCCCCGATCGTTTGAGCCCCAGAACCCCAAACCTGGCAGGGAGGGGCACCCCCAAACTCCGCCACCACCCCAAAAAGATCCCCCAACATCCCTGCACGGCCCACCAAAAGCTCCCCAAACCCTCCAGGAGCTCCCATTGCTGCCCCAATGTTCCACAAAGCCCACCCAGGGATGGCCCTGGAGCCCAACCAAGACCCTCCAAATTCCCCGCAGATCCCCCAGCACCCCCAGCCGAGGTCACTGTGGGCTCAGTTTGCCCAGCTCAGGGTCCCTGGCTGCTGCTGATCTCTGCCCCCACTCTGGGGGCTTCCCCTCACTCCAGGACCCCCATCC